GTGGGATGAGAGAGTAAGAAGATGTAACTGCATGCAGACGCTACATATATAACTATATATATATATATATATGCTGGGGTGTATAGGCACCTTGCCAGGTAGGAGAGAGACGAAACTCATCTGCCATGCGGGAGAGAGTGCAGGGGATAGCCCCGCAATCAAAGTTGACAAATATCTCCAGCGAGAAGAAAATAACAAAAACAATAAAAGTCAACCGCGCGTCAACTTGCTGCTGCTGCTGCTGCCGCTGCTGCTGCTGCTGCTGCTGCTGCTGCTGATGCTGATGCTGCTGATGATGATCATGAGGGTGCTGCAGCTCATGATGGGGCTGCTCTGACTCCTCCTCCTCCGGCCTTCGGTGCTCCTGCTGCAGCGCAGCAACATACCGCATACAAAACACATACGCATGCAGATGCATGCACCCGCATAGGGTGGGGTTGTTGTTGTTGCTGCTGCTGCTCAGGCAGCAGACGTGGGTGGCAGCTGCCTCAGCAGCAGCAGCAGCAAACACAACAACCCCACCCTCTGTAAACCACCACGAGATACGACGCAGGCAGCTGCAGCTGCCTCCACTACATCACTGGAGACGCACAACGGCTGTTAGTAAACCCTAAACCCTAAACCCTAGATACTAAACCCTAAACCCTAAACACTAGATACTAAACCCTAAACCCTAAACCCTGAACTAAAGTCCCTCCTTCCTTCACACTAGAGGAAGCAGAGGCAACGATAGCAGCAGCAGCAGCAGCAGCAGCAGCAGCAACAGAAGCAGCAAGCGCTCGTAGACAATCTACCTCGTGCACATGGGCCCCGCCACCCCTCCCGCCCCTCCTCCCCAATGCAAGGGGCACAGCGGTAGCAGCAGCAGCAGCAGCAGCAACAGCAACAGCGACAGCAGCAGAAGCAGCAGCAACAGCAGCAGCAACAGAACCACAGACATCCAGGGACCACAGTCACCAGCAGCCGTGAAACTTTTCGTCTGAGGGGGAGTGGGGGCCCTGAGGGGCCCCTTACCTGGTCTGGCAGTTGAGGGCTGATGGGGGGTAGAGGCGGAGACGAAGGCACCTGCTGATGGTGGTCTTTGCTGCTGCTGCTGCAGTTGTGGCTGCTGCGTCTCCACGTCCCCCAAGGAAGGCCGAGGGGCGTGGAGGGGGGCCCCCCGGGAGCGGCAGTTGGGGGCCCCCCAGCTCCGGTCTCCAAGTCCAGGAAGGGCCCCCTAGCAACGAGGGGGAAACGCTCCTCGGTTGAAGGTTTGCTCGGTGGACGAGCCATGGTGCGTGCGAGAGAAGAAGCAGGAGAGGGGGGTACAGAGGAAGCAGACGAACATCCCCATCGGGTGTGGCTTAACCTCCTCCCCTCCTGGGGGCCCCCAGAAGAGGCTCGCCGGCCCGAAGAGGTCTTGCTGCTATCGTCGTTATCTTTGGGGCCCCCTGCTTTCATTTGCAGCGCCTGGGGTGGCTGGACACCCCAGCAGAGCGCCCGTGCGACGCCGCGGCGGTGTATGAGACACCGCTGCTCATGAAGGCCCGCCAAAGCTTTCTAAGCTGTTGCTGCAGCCTCTATGCAGAATAAATTCACTAAGAAAGCTCTAGCTCATGTACTGATCGCCTCCTCGGCCCCCTGCGAGACAAAAACTCCCCTCAGTCTATAGAAGGAGGGAAGACAAGTACCCCCGATGGGCTCCCTGCCTGCAGGCCGAAGCCTGTGGAGCCGAGCGAAAATAGTTTCGCGGTTTGTTTCAGAAATGAAAAAGAAGAAAAAAAAAGGGTTTAGGTGGATAAGGCGTTTACAGACGAAGAAGACCGCTGGACACAACGGGAGAGGAGCTGCAGTGTTCGACGGGCAGCACAAGGCAATCACCGCGGTAGGTAAGCGAGAGATAAACAATACGCTCCCTGAGTTTTAATCATGGAAGACGCTTTTATTATTATTATAAATTCCTTTATTCACCTTTTCTCCAGAATGATAGGGAGAATTTTCGCTCCTGCTGCAGCCCCGAGCACGGAAGCCGATGGGTACTTGCGCGGCTGCAAGAGTGGAAACGCGGCAACAGCATAGTTGTAGATACACCGCAAACCTGAACTTTAATTTTTGAACAGAAAACCCTTAATTCATCTAAAGTTTACTACTCCCTAGAGCTCCAGGGTTTCAGGGAGCGGTGAGAAAGGCTGTGATGCTCTATTTACAACAAGGCGGCTGCACCGTACTGGTGTGGCGTGCCAGGTGCATATGCCGACGGCGTTGAGCAGCTCGAGGTAAAGTGTTTAAAAAGAGATGAAATTCACTGGCTCGTTTCTCGACTTCATCGGGGATGTAGTGTCTAGCATGCTGTGTGTGGTGTTCGTGCATGGACTTCTATTTGCGGGTACGCTGGTTACTGAGGGCAAGGAATTGCTTATATGGTTGTATACGACGTTTATACATGAGGGTGGGTATGCCTGCATGCGTGTGTTCCGTGCAGCAAGTATTGTAGCTCTCACAATCATCTGTATGCAATTGGCGCATGCACCTCTACTTGCGTGCGGGCTGCCTAGTGAGTCCCAAGCTAGTCTTTAGCGATTGCCTTCACCTTTAGTGCGTGCAGTAGAGGGGATTTGCGTCTCCATAAACCACCAGCCCCACAGCTGGGCGGGGGCGTGTATGGAACTTAGTTGTGGAGCCCTGTCTTTTGCAATAAAATGATACTTGATCTCTGTGTGCCCTCCTCCGGGGAGTCGGCAAACAGCGAGACGCCTCATGGAATTTGATCGAGAGTAGTATATGTATGCCATTAAGCCAAAGCTGTCCTTGTTTCTAGCCTCTGGCATATCTGTATCGGAAGGATAGGCACCTGAACGATGTTTATACTGAACGGTGTTTATAATTAAGCAAGGGAACACCCTTTACGGAGCGAATGCAAAGAATGGAAGATCTTGCTTCCACACAGGCTTACCCCAAGCCTGATAATAGAGCAACTTGCTTCGTAAAACTTGAGGTGGTAGAGAGCAGGCAACGGCAGGTATAAGAGAACGAAAGCAACGGAAGCCATCAACCGAGTGCTAAAATGACAGGCATCAGTCCTTGGTTAAGACGAGTCCAAGGGTGGGATCACAGTTTCTTTATTTATGGGCCATAGCAGCATGAGCTCGATTATTAATAGTGTAGAACGGCAATAGATAGCTGGATAGGCTAAGAAGAGCGAGCTATGGCGTGAAGGGGTGGAACGGGCCAAGTTAAGCACTATGGTGAAGGAAAACGGCGATTCTACCGCCGAAGCTGAGAAGAACGAAAGGGGAAGTGGATTTTACCAGAATATAGAACCTGTGGATATTTGGTCCATGAGTACCAGCATTAATGAGAAGCGTATGAGAAGCCAGAGCACAAGCCCGACAGACTCGAAGGCTAGCTTAGGCGAGATACGGAGGGGAACATATGCTTCTTTTGCAACAAACAAGGGTCATAAGTTCGAAGTTTCAGGTGCAAAAAACGCTAAGGAACCGGAGAAGAGACAGTTTGAACAGTGTTGTGAAAGGAAAGGATAACGCGCTGGCTTTCACCGTGATGTTAGCCGTTGGGGTGGCTCCCTGCTGGCGATCAGCCATCCCGAAAACCCCGTGAACAAGCGCCTGCTGGTCACGCACTTTTAACCGAACGAGTCCAAGTATTCGGTTCTTGTGAAGGAAATTAATTGGTGTGGTGGTGGGTAAGGAAGCATCGACCCTCCTGGCACGATAATTCGCTTCACTGGCAAAGATTTTTCAAAATTTTAAGGAGAAAAAGTGTGCTTCGCCAGCTCACGCAATCCGATTTCACAGTCAAGTATATCGCGGGCATGACGAACTAGGTCGCTGATTCACTCTGCCGGCGCCCAGCCAGTGAAGCAGTGCGTTGAGCAGCTACTCCTATCTGTGATGATTTCCGTTCCCTTTCTGATTTTCCGGTTTAAGACTCGTTAGGTAAACATCTGGCTGCGTTGTGGACAACGGGCTATGTGCCCTGGCATAGACATCGATCGCATATGGCACCATCGGAAGCTTCGATTCGTACAGGAGGTCTGGGCAAAGTGCATAAAGGTGTTTTGACAGGCCACGCTGGGGTCAACACAACAGTAAAGCCGGTCGCTAGGTCCTCGAGCGGCCTGCATTGAACAACTCACCCGACGAATATAACAGCTCTTGTTCGGAATAACAGTAGCTAAAGCAGTAAAACACTCTCAAACCTGCACCCACGCAAAGAATTCTAATTCGCGAGGAGATCTGGACTGGTATCTCAACACATTTCATAATGGGTTTGCCACCAGTCGGTTCTGCTGGACCATTTAGATCGTTCCTGATAGACTCAATAAATATGGAAAGTTCATCCCTCGTTTAAGTTGAGTAATAGCATAGGAACTGGATCAACTAATCATTAATCACTTCTCGACTCTTGAGTGCTTCCTAACGAGCATTATTAATGGCAAGAACCCGAAGTTGGCGCATTCTGACGTGAATTGATGTGCCGTAAATCGGTCACAAATGACCACCACGCAGCAGCAGGGGACAAATCGTTAAAGTAAACGAACCATGGGCACGCCTGCGCCGCATCTGCAACTTTAAACTCTGCAAACCTCATCAGAGTGGCTCGATTTGGAGGAAATGGATTTGCAACACAACAGTCCGCCAAGCGGTCCTGTTGGTTGGTGTCAAGCGTTGTACAGCTGCCGCTACCTGCTTCCATAAATGCATCGCAACAAACGTGTTTGTTCTTCGTAGCTTCGCAAGGCAAGAATCTACGACAAACGACGTTAGGCAGTTACCCTATCCTTGCTCGTTTGCTTTTTGTGGATGTATACCCTCCGCAAAGGGCGCAGGAGGGCGAGCATCCAAAGGAACTCGCCATGCATTGCATACGATGTCCCTCTTTAAGTCATCGCGCTGGCATAAAATACAGATGCATCAACAACGTGGTGTTGCCTCCATGTCACTGATGCCATTTTTAGAAGCTGCTCGCAATATAGCAGAGCTTCCTTCAACTTTCTCCAAAAAGTGGGATAAATGGCTAGTATCTCAGCAAATCTCCCAGTTTGCTGAGGTTCATCTATGTGAAACCATTTCCACGAGCATCTACGCTCCTTGCACTCCAGCGTCTGCAGTCGCTGCACTTCAGCCCGCAACTCAGACAGCAAACCGTAAAATGGGATCGCCTAGAAGTGCATACACTGCGAGATGCGAGCATTGGAAAGCAGATTCCAATACTGGCGCAAGGTGCAGTACGCCGGAATGGGCAGTGACATTGCAAAAAGCTGGCTTGCATTTGCTACGTACGTTGGGCAACAGCCGCAGTACCGCTCGGCTCCCTTTGGGGCTTGCCCCTGTGCTCTCGTGTGTTTGATCCTCTGGCCCCCTCTCCCTTCCCGTCCTCCCTTATGGGTACAGTCTCCTTGTTCATTGGACCACGAGATGGAGCGTGGCGTTTGAGGACGGCATTAGGCCAGCGTTAGAGTGTATAGCTCCCGCTTAGGGGGCCGTGACTGTTCCGCTATACGATACTGTTACTATTCTGTTGCTAATATATTTGAGAATCTATAAACAGCGTATTTTGCACACATTCTAATCAGAATATAACGCACCTATTCACTTGTTGGGCCCGTACCATACACTCCACTCTGGTCCGGCCAGACCCCTTTATGCCGCGATGCCCAGGACACCTAGAGACAGGATGTGCCAGATGCCTCTGGGGAGTTTCTGTCTGTGTAAGTATTTTGACTCTATTCCAACTCACGACTGTCCTCGCTTAAGAATGTCGACTCAGGCGACTCGGGTGAAATCCGCGAAGGCAAGGATTTTAGAAAACGTGCATTTTCCTAGTCCTTATTGAATGAAAACAAACAATTTATTTACTGGAAGAAATAAATATTTTAAGCTTTCTAACCTGATGGAAAACAGCACACGTAGTAGTACCCACAGCAGCCCCTGTGGCTTGCAGTGCATGCAGGGGCGGGGCAGCCCGCGGTGGGGAAATGCCGTACGTCAGCTTCTGTGCCTGTGGCTTCTTTCGCCATCTGTTTTCGAGTTATCTGTGGCCTTTTCCTCCAAATTCCGCGCGAAAATGCCGAAAAGCTACAGGAACCACAGCAAGACGGCGCGCAACCCCAAGCGCCCCTTCGAAAAGGTGTGTTTCCTGCTTACTTGTATGCAAACTTTCCAGGCGGGCGAGTGTGGGGTCGTCAGCGTGAAGCGTCTGGGGGTCTTTCGTGTTAATCAATAAATATTTCGGGATATTTCAAACCGTTAAGGAACTGTGTTCAAAAGACCATGCAGATTTATTCGCTACAACCTGCAGTGCTCAGTGCCAGACGTCCTGTGCTGCTGTCAAGGGTTGAAGAGAATGCATGCGGGGCTAGTTTCATCTCTGAAAGTCCCTTTCTTTTTTTTTTGCTTCTGTGATGGCGGAATGACCTCCCGAGAACGGGATATGGCTCTGGCATCTGTTGGTTTCTCTGATGGTGGATGCTCGTCAGGCCACTGCCCAGTGACGCGTTAGGCACTGACGCCTGACACTGGGTATTGAAGGTTTTATACTGGGTTATGAGCTCGGGATGCTGGGATGGGGTGAAAGGTCTGAAGGGTTGGGGGTGATGTTCTGCTGCGTTATGGTGCTACAGGAGCGCTTGGACCAGGAGCTCCGGCTGCTGGGCGAGTACGGCTTGAAGAACAAGCGAGAGGTTTGGAGGGTGCAGTATGCGCTTGCTAAGATTCGGTCTGCAGCTCGTGAGCTGCTGACTCTCGAAGAGAAGGATCCTCGGCGTATCTTCCAGGGTAAGGCGTGGGAGCCATCATGACACTGTATTTAGGGGTAGTTACGTATCGCCGCTTGATCGAAGGAGCCGGCCAACTCTTCGGTGCATGGGGTGACTTTTCAATATAAAAGGTGTAATCGGAGCCTGCATGTGCTTGCTGTTGTTTTTTTTAGGGACGGCGCTGCTGCGTCGTATGGTGCGTCTCGGGTTGCTGAGCGAAGGGGAACAGAAACTGGACTACGTGTTGGGTCTGACGGTGCAGAAGTTCCTTGAGCGCCGTTTGCAGACACGTGTGTTCAAGTTGGGTCTTGCAAAATCTATCCACCACGCCAGATGTCTCATCAGACAGCGCCACATTCGCGTGGGAAAGCAGATCGTCGATATCCCCTCTTTCATGGTGCGCGTTGACTCGGAGAAGTATATTGAGTTCTCCCTCACCTCACCGTACGGGGGTGGCCGCCCTGGCCGCGTAAAGAGAAAGGCACTGAGAGTAGGTGACAGCAAGGAAGGTGATGATGAGTAAACGTGAACAAGCTATCTAGTGGCCCGCTGCTTTCTCTGCACTCAACTCACCCAAAGAAAGCTGCGGTGGGCAGCCATTTTTGTTGACAAATTTCTCTCCAACATGCAGAAAGCAGCAAGGCCAATTTCAAATTTTCAAACCAGGGGGTCTTGTTCAACACCGTTCAACGCATCCACGATAATTGCTTGTACCTCTTGTCTCCCAGCAGCTACTGATGTTCAGGCATTCATTTGCTGCAAGTTGCTATACTTTCGCCACGTACTGTAATAGTCTGCACTGCTAGTAGACATTCTAGAATGAAGAGTTGCACGAGCCTTCACACCTATGCCACTATTTAAGGCAGGTTTGTCATAGGGCGCCGGGTCCCCTGTATTATGGGCCCTAGTTGAGTTCAGTAGCTAGAGGAGCGCCGTAGGGTTCGTAAGCCATTGTCGGGACCGGTAGGGTTCTAGTATGCGTCTGCGTTGGGACTGAGGTGCACGTTTAGGGGTACGTAAGTACATAGGGGGTGTAGGGAGGGACACCTTGGAAGGTGTGTTGAGCGCGGCGTGCGTCTAGCTGCCATGTTGCACATGCTGCATTGGCTCGGTGGAAACGTTATTATTCAACAGCTGCATTCCTAGTTAGAGCAGCTCGCTCCATATCGTACGGGTTCAACTTTGGGTCAACGAGAGGTTTGTGCCTACAATGGCATTAAGACGGTTCAGACTTCACCGGAGGCTGGCGGGAGCCACCAACCAGCGTCATGTACACCAGCCCCATGTCTTGACATTGTTACTCATATTTCCTGTTCAACGATATCGTTTGTATTTTTAATTGGATTTTTTTTGCAATTCTGGCAGGGTGCCATTGCAGACCTCGCCGAGACCTCTGTGTCCGCCCGCCGCAGCACTACGAAGACTGAATTTCGAGCTCCCTAGAGCCCCCCACCTCGATCTTAATTTCCCGCTCTTTTCTCGCATTTTGTTGTCGTTTCGGTCTTGCTCCGTGTTTTTGTTTATGTTTGTGCCACTGATGACGTTCTGAAACCCATGGACAGCCGCGCCAGGCCCTGAGGGAGGTGCGCTAGACTGGCTGTAATTCAGGTTTCTTGGCTCAGATGAGCTCTCCGCCTCTTGAAACCGCGAAATCAGCGTGCGAGGCGGTCTTCCCTACGGATGTGGAGGGGCAGGGGGGAATGTGGGACATCTCTACGCATGCATCGACTCACGACTCGATACTGTGGGAAGAAGAAGGCATTTCCTTCCCGCTTTCTCAACCAGACCCCCCACGGCGTCATCCTACGTCTTCCTCCGCTTCTGTTCAGCGACGCAGGCGCTCCGCAGCTTGCTGCTCGGCTCCTTACGTCGCCGCTGCCCAGCAGTCCGGGGTCCGCCGTTCTCGCCGTGATGGCACACCGGTAAGCCTTTTCGAGTCCGCGAGTTCACCTTCGCCGTATCTATCTATGTATTACCGGACGTGCTCGGTCGTGTTGTTATTAACGTGAAGGGCGACCGAAATGCTGTTATACTGCTGCATGTCACTAGACTGCTGGAGGAAACTAGCTGATCATTCGAGAGGCTGGCAAGGCGTTTGCTCTTGTTTTTTCTGTTTGTCAGTCTCGGAGGAAGCATTCGCCTCCTCAGGAAGTTACGCCTGGCTCGCCAGCACGGTCGTGTGTAGACAATGCGTGCAAAGATGACTGCCCATCACAAGAAGAAGCCGAGAAAGCGGCGCGTGACATGACAGAGGCTGCAGTCGCCTCCGCCAGCGCCTTTGCCGCAGACGCGCGCGCTATTGATCCCGCCTCGTACGAATCAAAGCCCACGGCCTTCCTCTACAGAGGCCACACAGCCCAAATCGCCACCTCCACCGCTGGCATGTACGGTGAAATGATCGAAAGCTTCATCAAGCAGGTAACGCCTAAGCTCCTCTGGAGGCACAGGCGAACACGCGGCGGCTGCTGCTGCTTTCCTTAGAAGAAGAACGGCAGCTGCAACCGCACTCAAGCGAGGCAGGGCTGAAAGCTGGCACAGGCACACGGTGCTGGTTCCCGTCAAGTCCTGACATTTATGCTCAAGTATTAAGTGTACTTTCAGCTGTATCCATGCTCTGTTTAGGTCGTGGCTTATGCCAAACAGTACGGAGCCGACCAGTTCAGTGTCTTCTGTGATCTCGGAAGCGGACGGGGTGCCCCTAGCGCGATAGCTGCTTACGAGCACGACTGGCTAGCTTGTCTAGGTACGCAGCGGGGCGTCTGCTGCTCCTGTTGCTGGCGCTTCAACGTCTATCTGCTGCGGTTTCTGTTGCATTGACGACAGAAACTGCATCACTCTTAGCAGCCAACACCATTTTGCAGGTTTCCGTGTGCATCGTCCACAACCGTGCTGTTGGCGTGCGTCTCTCAATGCCGCATGCGTGCTTGCTCCCTAGCTATTGTTGTTTGTTTTTGTTGCATATTACTGAGGATATTCAGTTGCTGCACCTTAGGGCACCTTTTTAACGATCATATGAGGCGTGTAGACGGTTACATCGGTGAGCAGATGATGCGCTTGTTTGGTTGTCGTTGGCTGGCCTTTGCAGGGATAGAAAAGTGCCCGCAAGCGTTTGGGCTGTCTCTGGAAACACAGCGGTGTCTGCTGCTGCGGGAGGCGTCGGCGCGGCTGCGGGATCGGGATCGGGATCCGTTGGTGGCTGCCAAGGCAGAGACGAGCGCTGGGTTGGAAAAGCCAGTGGCAGACACAGAGACGAAGAGCGTTCTGAACAAAGATATTCAGGAGCTGTTTGAGGCCAGACCTATGCGCGCTGTGGCCTTTGCCCACGATGACCTTTCGGCATTCCTTGACCTAGAAGGCGTTACCCATGCCTACTCCTTCGACGCTGCCATGGAAGGGCCCCTAATAAACTTGTAAACTAAATCTCCTGTCATCTATGTTCAATTGTTGCCCCGACACACGGAACAACACTGCACCCGACACCCACGCTCCACTGTATCGACACCTCTTTCAGTGCACTGATCCGTCTGAAGTGCGAGCAAACCTATTGCTTTGCTTTCTCGTGGCGCTTGCTGTGGCTATGCATTGCGATACGGACCTGCTTGCTTTTACATGACATTTGATTGTGCGCTGCTGTCGTTGCTTCTCCTGTTTTCGCCATTTCTGGTTTGCAGCATTACGCACATGTTCATGCAGACAGAGACGTGGTGGTTTTACCTCTCCTTTAGGAACGGTGAGTCAGCTAGACAGGCTGAGGCTGAACGCGGCAAAGAGTCGAAGGCACCAATGCCTAAGGCTCTGCATGCAGCGCAGATTACACGACGCTTATGTCCAAATTGTACCCAAACTCACACTTGTTTTCGGTCCCCTCACTAATGCTCCATGATTAGTATCCTTCGGCAGCCGACTCGTGCTCGTAGCCTCCTGTGCATGTATGCATGGGCATGTTCCTGTTTCGGTTCGTTTGCAGACTTGATATCTCGATTTGACTTAAAGGGCGCGGAGATAAAGCACCAAATCAGCAGCAGTATGTGGGTGTCTTCTGAGGGGAGAACGGCATACGTATACGTAAAAACGGACTGGAAAGAAAGACAACAGCGTCATCGGAGGTGGCTTCGAGAGCACATCCTGGCCCCTCAACTGCAGCAGCAGGAGAAGCAGCATCAGCTGCTGCGGCATGTACGCATACAACAGCAGCTTGTGCTGCAACAACTGCAGAAGCAAGATGAACAGGCATCTGTAGCTTCCGCCACAGCTGCGGCCGCTGCCGCCGATTTTGTGCAGAGGACTCCCCGAAGCAGCAGGCGGAACTCTGTTGGGACGCCGCGTTGCCGGAGCAGCAGCAGGAAGCGTTACAGTGCTGCAGCAGAGGCCATACAGCAACAGCAGCAACAGCAGCAGGACATGGTGCTGTTCCACTTAGCAGCGCGACGGCAGCAGCTGCAGGTCCTCGAAGATCTTGGACCTGAAGAATGGACTTGGGGGGGGAGTTGGGGGGGGCAACGGCAGCAGAAACCGCAGAAGCAGCAGCAGCGGGCGCAACAGCAGTCACGGCAACAACAAAGGACAGATGAAGGGCTTGCAGAAGACGACGCGGCGCTACTGGAGCAGTTGCGCGCATTCCGCACCACCCATTTGCGGCTTTCCAAGTGGTAAGAAGTGGCACAGAGCCGTGTATCACTGATTCCCACAGTTAGGGGTGAGCATGAGGCGACACCGACTGCTCTGCCGCAGCACCGTTGCTAAAAGGGAAGCCTCTGCTGTCAGTTATCAGTGTATGTTCCATCCATGCGTATGGGGTGCTGGTTTCCGTGTTCTGCGCTGCAGGCATCAACCGCTGACTGTGCAAAGTCTGCTGCTAGTAGCTTTGCTGCCGTTTGAGGGACAAAACCAGTGGCTGCAATTGCAGAAGCAGCTGTTGCAGCCCGCCTCGGGTGTACTGACACGGGCACAGCGGCTGCTGTTGTTGGGGTACGATGAGGGCGAACGGAAAGAGGAGGAGCTGTCAAGAGACAGGTGGCTGGAGCAATTGGCAGCAGTGCCTGGGACAGAAGACGCGAGCGCTCTAAGGAAAGATATATACACAAGACTCACAGACCAGCGCAAGCAGGATCGGGTCCGTCACGTTGCATGCCGAATGCAGACTTCTCTCACTCGCGCCCATAAGCATCCGCTTCAACCCAAGAACAGACCATATTAGCGCACATACCAACATGTCTAGAAACAAACACAAACATCACATCCGTACAACTTTACATAAATGCCAAATTGCTTTGTTCTTCACAATTCCTGCACAAACAGCAACAGACAGCTGCCAAAGGGGTGAAACTAATTGGCTCATTCCCGTCGGTTTGTGCCTTCACACTGATGTAACACGTAGGGTAGTGCATTCAAACTGACATATTGTGCTGTGGTTTTTCTTCGTCCTCATAACACCCCATGGTCCGCTTGTTACCCAACCTCTGCTGCGGTTGGTTGCCTGCTCTTCTGTGCTCGGGTTGTTCTGTACGATGTGCATGGGAGATGCCTATGGGCTCTAGCAGCTTGTTAGCTTGTTGGAAGCTTGTGATTTCTCTCTGATTAGCGTATTCGGGAGCCTGGCTTTGACCGTTTGTTTTTAAGCAATTTGCATTTGCGTTTACAGTCCCTCTTCACCTTCCTGCCCCCCGACAAAAACGCGTGTGCAGCTTCCACAGGGGATGGAGAGCTTCCTGACGGAGCCTCTATTCGCCTGGGATTTCGTCACAGCTTGAAAGAGTTGCAAGAAAGGCAATCGCCGATGCGCTCTCCCCGGTGCCGCAGCTCCGGAACGCCGATTGCTTCTAGGGAACAGTCTCCTGTGCGGCGGTCTCGCGTGTGGGGTGATGCTGCAGATGCAGGGGAGGCGCTGGCGTACCAGCGCCAGCTGCCTAAAACCCCCAACCGCACTCCAGCTCGACAGCCTGCCAGGCGACGACTCAGCAGCCAGTCTATGTCGCCTGTGGCTTCCCGCGGACGTGCCTCAGGCTTCTCTGCTGCTATTGCTGCTCTGGGTGCTGCCGATGCAGCAGCAGCAGCAACGCCGACTCGGCCAAAGGGGGCAGCCTTGGCAGCTGTCGGTACACCCAACACTTGCCGGGAATTTCAACGGGTAGAGAAAGAGCTCCAGGGTCTCGTCTTTCGAGCAGCAGAAGAACCCCCCAGCAACGAGCCGGATCGCGTGCCGATGTCACAGGATACGTCGTGAGGCTCAATGCCTTCAGAGATACAGTCAATTTGGCAAAGGCTCAGCTAATCAAGTATAACATAGACGAGTCCTTACCACAGGACAACCCCAGACCTACTGCAGAAGGAACTTCCCGAACCTTCGCCCCCCGCCAGCCCCGCATGAACACCTGGGGAACGGGTATTTGCTTTGTCACTTTTGGTTTGCACATACACGCTCATATGGCGCGGTGTAGTGCTTAGAACTTAGGTTTCAGGATTAAAGAATGCCCGAAAGCGTACCCACTCAGGCCCGCAGCACACACAGCAGCGTCTAGCGAGGCGTACACGAATACACTAAGCAGTCGCCAATGAACTGCAAAACTCAATAGGTGCATCTGCCTTCAGTAAAAATGAGAAGTAGGCTGCTCGGAGCATCCATTTAGTGCAGAGCAGCAACCTCCCCCAGAGTATGGAAAAGAACGGGAACAAAACTCGTACGGCCGCTCAATGGGCAGATGCTATTCCCCTACTGGGCACACTTGTGGGCGACTACGGATGATACTATATGGCAACTAGGCGGTCTACACGTTAGGGTTGCTGCAAGGAGCCCTCTCCTATCACTTTTGCACGCTTCTGTAATGGACGTGCAAAAACGGACTAGTAGAATCATGAGTGGAAACGACTATTTGCTAGTGAAGTTCCTGGCAGCCGCCATCCTCTCCTGAGGGTAGTGGCCCTCCTCCGTAGCCTATTTTTGTTTGCCGCCCTGAAAGCACCGAACTTCTCAGGTAAGCCGGCGCGACAGGCCGTAGAAACGGGCCTGCTGCATCTGGCACAGGAGCCACCGTAACTTATTCCCAATGATCTCACGGCCGTATGAACAGGAGAGAGCTGTGTTTTGCGTGCTGCCTTTTTGTAAGATTAGAAAAATCTTAGGAAACATTCTAGTTCACAAACGGGTCCACGGACACCAAAGTGTAGTCCCGGAGCACCATCGACCTCCCGCAGCCAGCAGGACCCGATAGTAACCCCACAGGGTTAGTGTCTCATTGTAAGGGGTGTTCCTTCGCAATTGTCCAGCCGCCAAAGATATAGAGGACGTGAGACGAAGGGTACTCAGTCTGCGGTGTCGAGTGCATGCGCACGGGAATCGTTTTGCATGCAGGCGAAAGCTAGCGGTCTTCTTTTGCTACTCGTTGGCGTGGAAGCATGGCATCATCTTCGGAAGATGATATATAATGAGAATATCGGTATATTCGACCGAGTGCTGTTAGATCTGCGCGAAGAATCCCCCTGATTTCCCCAGTTATATTCCTGGCCGGCGGCTAGCCACCGAGGCAGCAGCTGCAGGGCTTTTCCTTTCGAGCTGCTCCCCCGATATTTGGTGTTTCTTTTCGAGGGATTTGTACACATTTTTTCAAATTTTAGTTCCGTCGCTGTTTGCTATGCGCGCTCTCCTCCTGTGCGCATCGCTCCCTGAAGCGACCGGTTCGGTCTTCATCGGTCCTCCTCGTCAAACTTACGGGTCATTCCCCTTGTAACAAACCATTAGTTGAGAGAATTCACCTTACATTTCCTTCTCATCTGTCTTATTCTCTGCATTGGTTTGCTCTGAGCGCTTTTTTCAACGTTTTCCATTGATCTCAGCCTCTACCGCGCACTCGTATGTGCTCCAGCCTATTTCACGGTGTCTGCTCTCACCACAACGCTTTAGATTTCCCTAGCACTACCACCGTATCTGGATGTTCCTCTTGCCCTTTTCTCTTCCCTCAGATTTGCCCGAGTCGCACCGTTTGAACCGTGATGCCAAACGGAACAACATCGACTTGAGCTATTCCCTGGGTTATAAGTCAGAGCCACCAGCTCATAGGGCCTGGTCCTATACAGTTTGATCCTTATGGAGTTGGCGCTTGCCTAAACCTTAACTTCCTTGCAAACATCCACTCCCCTGCAAAAATGAGTCGACTCGTTCGTCTTTGCGGCCTTCTGGCTCCACTTTTCCTTATTTCCACATTTTCCCCCATCCCCTCTTCTTGTCACTCAGTGCACAATGGCGTTTCTGCTACTGATTACATGAACCGGTTCAATATTCCGGCAAACCACATCCAGTTGGAGTGGGCCAAAACCGGTTCTGGCTTGCAGTCAGCTGTATACAAAGGCAAGACGTACAAGTGGCTTCCACGTAAGGCGTTGGAGAATGGCGTGGTTTCTTATCATCCCCAATATTCGGATCTAGTTTCATTTTTAGCGGGGGAAGGTCACTGACTGTACCCCTGCAGAGGGAAATTATTGGGGGAATGAGGGCGGGGTAGTCGGTTTAATTGCATTTAGTTCAGCTCTACCGAGTACCTCGCTTTTCGTATCTTCTGCTCTTGTGGTGGTTGCAGATTGAGCAGATAGTGGTTGTGAATTTGTTTTGGCTATCTGTATGCAGGTAACCAGACAGCGGGAGTCAAAGTTGGCTATGCGACAATGTGGGATCGGTCCAGCAAGGGCTACTGCACGCGAAGCGATGCAGAGGTAGACACCCAGCGCTACTTGGGACAACGGCTCATGGCTGTGGGGGCCTGCCCTAATTATGGGAAGTATATCGCATTCGTCGACAGGTCGGGGAATCCAGTTGATGATGAAGATCGTTTCACAAATGAGATTCATGGCAACACGATGCCTTTCTCGACTCAGGGATGCTCGTCTTCCGCTTCCCGCGGAACATCTGAAGTGCCCATGGACAAGTCAGGATGGAGTATGTATTCTGGGTACTTGGTCAAGTGCCCATTTAACCAGGCTGTCTACCAGAACGACATGCTGCAGGACGCCGAGTACGATCCCTCAGCCTGCAGCTTTGTCACGCTAGACAATCCTCTTGTGTTTCTTGACACCTCACTGCCAGGAACTTCTCTGGCTGAAAAAGCATATGCCTTCCACGGAAAGGGAGGGCACCAAGGATACGATTTTATTGGGAACGGTGTCGGCTGTCCTCCCTATTCCCCTCCTCTGAAGACGCGCTCTATGAAATCTCCCACCCTCGCTAACGACCCATTCTTGTGTTCTCAGTTATCTCGTTGCACCAGCATGTGCTGGCCATGGGATACGAACAGACCCTGCTACCGCAGCTTACCTGCCTCGTTTAATCATTCCACTTCTGAATGTCTTATCCTTGGATACCACACGCAGACGTACATGGGAAGTAATTGTGCCGTCAAGACGGCAACAGATTCTAATGCCAAGTACTGTGTGAAGGCCCATAAGACGGTTGAATCTTCCAAATACACATACGTCTCAGCGTTCACCAGACCCGATTACGAAACAGCTTGTCGTAAGTTGTCGTAAGCCGTAGCTGTAGACTTCGACTGTACTGTATTATTTGCTTTGTCTTTTTCCAGTTGCTGTTTGGCGAAACAGCCTGTGAACTTTGATTCTGCACTATCTTTTACTTAGTCTGTTTCTAATTGCGTTTTTGAGAGGCAACGTCTGAAATTTTGGCGTGGTTGTGCGGAAGGAGCAGCTGCACATGCTGTCTTGACATGTACATCTCTGGTCGTATTGTTTTTGCGTTGCAGCGCCAAGGGAGCCTCTGAAGAACGTCGTGTTTGGGACAATTTCGGGAGGAGTATGCACTCCGCTGAAGGTGGCTTCCTCTTCCACGGGAACTGCAGGAGCGTGCGGAGAGGCAGTGTTCGAGGCCAGTAGCGATGACAGTCCATCTGGGGTGGGAGGTACAGGCAGCTCTTCAATATTTTGGTCTTCCTGGTTGCCTGACGGTTCCAGCGGCCAGAAAGGAACCTGCAACATGTATTCCACTGTGCCGACTTGCATCTTCAAAGTAGAGGGGGCAATTTCCTTCACTGCGCTGAGCGCTGCTGACCCCAGTCTTGCAAAGGAACCCCCTTCAGAAGCAATTCTCCCGGGACCGTGCTCCTCTAACCCGTGCAAAAATGGAGGCACATGTGAGCTTCCCAGCGGCACGTGTAAGTGCCCTGCTTGCTTCACTGGGGCCAACTGTGAGACCCCGGTGTCAGGGTGTTGCAGCTCGGACGCGGATTGCAACGGGCATGGATCGTGCAAGAGCAACAAGTGCAAGTGCAATGCGGGATTCAGTGGCCCGATGTGTGAAAGTGGAGCTTGTGACACTGTGTCGTGTCTTAACGGCGGCACCTGTCAGATGCCCAACGGGATCTGCGTCTGCCCAGAAGGATTTACGGGGTCCCGCTGCGAAACCAGCGCTTGTGAAAAAGTTGTTTGCGAGAACGGCGGTGAATGCGAGATGCCATCGGGCAAGTGCAAATGTCCAGCCTGCTTTTCGGGTGATCACTGTGAGACTGAGAACCCTCGGTGCTGTGAGACAGATAGCGACTGCAATGCTCCACAAGGCACGTGTGTGTACAACAGCTGCCAGTGCGCTCCTTCTATTACTGGAGACAAATGCGATAACAGTGGGTGCACTGGGGTTACTTGCTTGAACGGCGGCGTCTGCAACGACTTGACAGGGCACTGCAGGTGTCCCAAGTGTTATAGCGGGCTCAACTGCGAGATATTTGAAAGCAATTGCTGCGAATCTGACAGTGACTGCAACGAGCCTAATGGCGTTTGCAACAGCTCAAACACATGCGAATGCGCTCCGGAATTTCCAGCGCCAAATTGCAAGGACTTGTGCTCAGCCACGCAATGCCTCAACGATGGGAAATGCGATCCGACAACTGGCAACTGCACATGCATGCCTGGCTGGGGGGGGAAGGACTGCGCTGTACCGGAACCTTGCGGTGAAAGTGGAGAAGTATGCTCTGGGAACACAGCTTGTGACAGTGAAAAATTAACCTGCGTTTGCAAGCCTGGTTATATAGGCGAGGACTGCACAGAAATGTCTCCAGAGTGCAGTGACCTCTGCAAAGTTGGGGGCGATATCCTACGGGACAGTGAAGGAGAGTGCAGGCTTGATTGCTACTCAACTTGCTGCAAGCACTTGACGGAAACATGCAAGGAACAGTCGGACGAGGACAAGGAACAGTGCATCAGGGACTCACTGGGAGCAACGGAGGAAGAGGCGTGCTGTCTTGCACGAGTCGAAGGTCAGCATGCTTGGATTGGTTGCGCAAAAACGCAACAAGGGGACGAAACTGCATCGCATTGGGAATTATCCTGGGTTCTATGAATGCATGCTGTGTGCGCATGCTTCAGAGGGCAGTAATGTAGCTATGTACGCTGCACTAGGGGTTATTGCAGCCCTTCTTCTTCTCGGAGGTGCTGGAGGGATGTACTACAATAATAGCAGGGGGTAAGTGGAGTGCTTGAACTTGGTGCTTAAGTATGCTTCTACGTTGGGGCATGTGCTGGCGCCATAGGTGGCTCGCGTTCTCCGCCAGCATGTTTTTCTCTCATCTCATTCTTGCTTCTGTGCTTCTGATAGGCAATCTGCCTCGAGCGGTCCATCGGAAAACCCAATAGATGAGACAGTAGGGGGAACCGACCGGCCAGCGAGAGCCGAGTCAGCCATCTCCGTGGACTTCGACGACTACGCAAGTACCCCAGATGATGCACCAGGCGACATTCATGCGGAAGGTAAGGGCCAGTGACTGACTTGAGTGCTCTGCTCCTGTATATAAAGAGACGGTCTGTCTGGGAGATTGATTTCTGCATCGCATGGCGTGCAATACACAAATCCGTTGCAATGACCAATGTTTGGTGGCACTTTGTGCTAGCCTGTGCATGATTAGTAATGTCACTCCTAGCGGAACGCTGTTGCAATTCAGCCATGTGTGCATATGCTGTTCTTTCTCCTTATGCAGGTGAAGCAGCGCAAGATGCAGAATGGGATGGTAAGCCTGATGCCACGCAGGCTTCTTCACCTAGTCCATAAATTGTGTAATTCTAAGACCACGGTGGATGCGATACCTGGTCACCTAGCTAGTAACGGTCATTAAGGAGGTGATGCGATGTAGTTCTTACAATCAAGAGTCCGTCTCCTTGTGTGGCACGTGTGCAACAGATGAGTGAGCGGGGCAGTGCATGAGTTGGATAGCGACGGACGCTCAACGCCTCTGTGCATCGACATCCGAAGGCCACTTGGCAGACGGCTGGTTGGAATGCCGAGGGGCTGATTCTCCATTCAAGAGCGAGCGCCTCCTGCGGTGTATTTACAGTGATGATTCCATCCATCACAGTGGGACACTCATCCACACTACTTGCCGTAATTGGCGATCTGTTTCCGTGCGGGGGAAACAAGTTTGATCGCGAGAATGCCGAAAGAGCCGGATTTGGTACACTCGGAACAGCATGGAGAAAACGGTTTGGCGAATTCAGAGGCTGGAGAGGACAGCGGTTTGCCCCGTTATGACGTCCATGGGAATACTGCCGGCCGTCAGTATGCCCAACATTTCAAGAGGCGTTGCGCCTTCAGCTGATGGTTTCCATTTGCCGGCGCCTGCCGTGTCGGTTCTTTTGAAACTATCAGCCCTTTCGCTTACATTTGTGCAGTGTGTTCTCGCTATTACGATAAACACTAGAGAAAATGATAGGTTGTCACTCAATTTAGAGTCCTATCAGTTTTAGAAATCCTGCGAACGCCGGTGCTGCTTTCTTGCCCGTGCAAGAGAATGGACTTGCGAGTTCCTGGGTGCATTTTGAAGCTCTTAAACACTGTGCCTTCATTATTCTTCCCGTTCGTAGATTTTCTGTGTGCATATGTGGCTTAACATCAGCTTCCTGGAACGGTCAACTGCACAACAACTACGTGCGCTTCCCTTTCCAGGAGTCAACTAATAGATGCAATGCACGCATGTGCATTCTGCTTTTATTTTCACATGATAAAATCGACTGTTGGGTAGGTTTAACAATAAAAAGGGCGTTCTGTTAGACAAGTAGGAGCTTAAAGTGGGGATTTATTATCCCAGCGTAAAAAAATGTGGCAGCGTGTGCTGCTTTTAAAAGGTAAATGAACGTACGTGACCAAGATATGTGGAGCTATGTGTTTGCACTAGCAAAACAAAGCTGTAATCGAGCCTGAAAACCCTAAAAACGATTGCATAGGCTGGGTATAACTAGAACCATGCTGCACAAATAATGGAGTCTACTGTTGGCACCTCTTCTGCTCGTGCCCTTGGAAGAATGCAGTTAAGGACTGTTCAACTTCGTCGCCAAGACTTGCGTTCTTTTTAGCTGCCGCTGCCTCTCTCGATTTCATCCGATCCTGCTTTGTTGCGAACAGCTCCTTGATGTTTGTGATGGTTTTGCTCTTCGCAAGCCGACTTACCAACTGTTTGCAAGTATTTCCGATCGCCTGAGACGGAAACAGTGACAGAAACAGTGCGCATGATGCCGAAATCCCTTGTACAATTGCGCCTTTATGGAAATGTATGCGACTACATAAAGCGGCACTTGCGAACATGTTGTTTCGCTGCTCCCTACGTTCACTTCTCACCATCTCCAAGCGGCTCAGAATACTAAATTGAGAAACGGCTATGTTGTACACAGCAATAAGAGGACCAGCAAACACGGCGATGCTCGCCATGATCCCTGTCTTCATAATAGCTTGTAGAGCAGTCAATGCAGGCGAGCCTGTGGGATTGCCGACGAATGCATTGCCGCTGTCGTCCATACACAAGCCTATTGGGGGACAACCTGTCGTCATGCTGGCTTGACCTGTTTCATTTCCAGTGCTGGCAATTTCTGTGACCCCTTCTGTGACTCTGCAAGACAACAATAAGTTGTAGAAGAATAATAGGGTTAGTACTGATTCTCACGTGGAAACACTGTATCGTAAGGGACGATGAATTGTAGTTGAGTCCAAAAGTTCGATTATTAAGCCATATCCCAAGGTTTAACGCATGCACAGTATAGGAAAGTCTTACTGAACCAAAGAAGAAGCGAAGAACAAGCCTAGAGTTAACCAAGAGATGATTTCGCGGATTCTGTCTTCTGTACGCTTTTGAACCCACTTCTTGATCATTAACCCAAAGTACACCGACTGGGCATGCAGGAACATTCCGAGCCCTGAGTGACCGCTAGCGGAGAGCAAGCTGCCCGTTAGTTGCATCTGGCTGGTAAAAACTGTAGGTGAACCATATTTTGCCTTCTTTAGCATCCTCTTCTGAGTTGTAGGAAGCATTTGGTTGAAAAGTCGTAGCCCTACATCCCCTCCCATCAATACCATTCCGAACGAACTTGCCTGCAAAAAGAACAAACGCAAGAGCGGCGCTGAAGGATTTTTGTCAAGGGTTTGACAGCCTCAGCGTTAAAACTCTTTCAGGGTAGCTGTTGAGCCTCGGTGCGATATTCCTTGCCTGAAAAGGATCATTGATTGACGTTTGCCAGGCTTCGTTCGAAAATGTCTTCTCAAGGGCATCCAGGTTCCCCGAGTTCAATATATTGTTCGCGGAAACGGAGAAAACAAGTGTCCAGATGTGGCGGAAGAAATGGCTCATTGCGCTATCCTTGAGTTCTTTGAGTCGATCTGGCGTGGACAATGAGGCGTAGCGGCGGTGTAGTGGGGGCGCCAGAACGCTTTGTGGAACCTGTAGAACAGCATAAGCACATGCATTTACCTAACTGTTAGCCGAACACATACATTCAAGAGAGAGCTACTGCGCAAGAATTCCACAGTGCTGTGGCATTATGGACGCCAGGCACCAAAACTGAACTCACCCCAAGCGGTCCCCCTGATGTAGTTCTGCTCTTCTCTTCAAAGTGCTCAAAGAGGTCAATAACAGCTGTCATAAATACCTCCTGGTTCTCAAACACTCCCTTGTTCTGTGTGTAGACTTCTACCAAGACCCGCACTAACTCCAGAGCCTCACGAATACGAAGGTTGATTGCAACAAACGAATGGTGCTGGGTCTTGTAAGATGGAAGCCTCAGTAGCTTATAAATAAAGGATTTAAGCCGCAACGGCCTGCCAACGGAGGTCTCTTTTGGGCTGACGACTTTCCCAATCAGTGCGAGATTTTCAGTGTCGGAGCTCTTCAGAAGATCTAAGCTGTCCCTGAAAAGGGCAGCAATGTTCGAACCTCTCCCTCCCCTGCATTCGTGCTGTATCCTTTCTCGACTCCCTGGCCTCATCAACCAGGCAACTAAGCTATCTTCGAGCTCCAACCTAAGGTATTCCTGCCAGGTTTTTGGCGTTGGCGGATGAACAAGAGAAAAGTTGATCCCATTGAAATCTTTCATAGTTGTCTTTTCTCCCGCTTGAAGCTTTTTCTAAGAGGCAAGCCGCACACACGATTGGAGAGGCAGAACCTACCAAAGTTGCATCGTTGTCTCTTGCTCTGCTCACGGACTTTGCTTGCTTGCAACAACACACGTAGAGTAAGCGAACCTTTAATTGCTGCGGAAGTCCTTGTGTAGCGGTCTCAGCTATGATCTTGTCAAGCCTTTCTGAAATACCGCCAGCGCGACTTCTAGCGCCGGACGGCTCTGAGCCAGTGAACGCCAGCTGATTCAGATGCTCGAAAACAAGCGGATGAACTACGACATCTACACATGAGCGAAGCTTCATGTAGAAAGCAGATGGGAGTTTCGATGATAAGACTGAACAAGCGCAATCAAAAATAACGTGCCTTTTATGTCTCCCCACGCCACTCAGAATCGCCATGCTAATATGGCACAAGAATGAAAGCATTATCTGTCATGTCATTGGCTGACGACTGGATCTGGACATTTGAATCATCGGTATTTACTTACAGCGGAAGTGCCGCCTCGAATACTTTCGGCGCAAGTGCTTTTTCATGAGTTTTTGTACAGCCCGCGGTAGCCACCGGGAGAGCAGCACGGATGTCGCACGGTCGGAAACCAAAGCTGTAAAGTTGCGGAGTATGTTTTCGACGCCATCTGTAGAGAGAAAAGGGGCACGAAAAGTCACAAAACAGTAAGACAGAAGTATAAGTGGTGGACCTGATGCAGCTGAATATGCTATCGTTCATAATTGCCTTCTCACAGGACTCACCGGAACAGGAGACGAGTTCTTTACTGTTTTTCCATCTGTTGCCACTGAGTAAAACGAAAATGCGAAATATGCCTTCTCCAACGGGGCCTCGCGGAAGGAACTGAGAAAGCACAGTCGGTTGACTGCCAAGCGCCTTTAAGGGACTTTGCCTGGCCACTGCCTTTTTAGGGCACTTCGCAGTAGCGCTTCCGCATGCAGCTTCTTTGGCTGTGGAGTTTAGCAAGTCACCGATTTGCCCGATAAATCCTGAAACTCAACGGAACCACCCACCACAAGCATTTTGATGTGAAAGAGAGGCAGTCGCAAGCAGAAAGAACGGTTGTTGAAGCCTGTTACTACTAGCCCAAATTACATGAGTGCGGCGTACGGCGGTCGAGAATGTCGAAGAAGTTTCCCAATGCAGAGCACTGCAAGCTGACAAGTTTTGACTGACAATGGAGTCGCTTGTCCCAGACTTCGTTTTGCCAGGCTGCAGAGCACATAATGCTCTCTTCATTGGCACTGGCAGCTCTCGAACCTAGCTTTTTGAGAACCTTTTTGCAAAGAGAGGACCCTGAGACGCACAGTATGTGAATAAATTACGACAGTGTCTGGGCCGGACGTTTCCACCGTATGTTTGTCACCTGCCTTAAACCAATGTACTTGAGCACGTCATTAGCAACGTAGCTTGCCTTTTTTATAGCTCTTCATAATATCGGAGGAAGTCCTCGAGTCAATCATGTAGAGTAGATCCCACCCTATGGAGCAAAGCCCAACAATTGCAAAGTTCGTGACAAGTGCCCCGCACACATTTGTTTGTGGGTTTGTTTGTGGGAGTGCAAGAAAAACAGGTATGCTTACACGGCGCAGAGTCATTGCCAAGCAGATGCGCGGCTGCCTTATAATTCCCGCCTCTAAGTTGAAGCAGTAGGAAGTCCAAGAGGGCGTTTTTACGGACTGCCCTCGATGGAGCTTCTCGCTGTTCTTGCTCAGTTGACTCCAGCAAGGACGTTCCCTCTTCTGCAGCAGCTCCTGTCTTCTCAGCGTTTGCCTCTATGCTCGCAAGAACAGTGTCTTCGTACAAGCAAGGTACATCTAATAGGACTTCTGCACCCCGGCGAGAGCTGAAGCCCATGCAAAGCCGTTGGAAATTCATCCTTCCGCCAGCATACAGCTCCAAAGGCAGAGAGTACTCCAGTTCCTCTGGAGGGAGCATCTGCTGCAGACTGTTTATACGTTCGATGGCATGCATCTCCGCTGTGAATCATACCAATACACACATACGATGCAGGTGAACGAAAGTCTGCCAGGATAGCATGAAACATTCTGAGTGATACCCAGTTACGGTCCTTCCAGCTTTGCTTTTTCACGTTACTTACCAAGGTGCAACGCGAAGGTGGCTTGGAGCATCAGGTCACAGGAGGTGCGCGGGAGGCCTGCAAGCAGAGACTTTCGTGTAAAGTACTCTCTGGGAATAGTTAAAATGTTTGGGGCTAGTTTAGAACCCTTTCGCTTGGACCCTAGCACACTACCGCACATTCTGTATATACTTGAGAGCCTATGCTCATGACCGCTGCTCAGGAGCTTCGGCAGAGGGGCCAATGGGCGCCGGTTGCCTTCGTTTTCCCCGAAGAATTCATCGAAGCGCAGAAAGGCTTGAGTGAACCAGTTGACGATAAGGGAAGCTGCACAAGATAAATGCGACACCGATACGACCGATGGCTTCGGAAACAGTTGGTCATAAGCTCCCTTACCGCCCCAACTAAGGCTCACTAAAGGGCACTTTCAGAGGCTTTGTGCGTAGGTGAATGAATGCCAGGCTTTAACGCTCATGAAAGTGCGAGCCCAAAAGGCCCTCTGCCCTCTGCGCATTGCTTTCATATTCCCTACAAGCAAGTGAGAAGTGCATCTTCCCTTACGCAGGCAAGAACTTACCAATTGGACCACCTGTTCCTGCAAATGCTAGATATGCTTCTGGATATTCGCTAAGGATAGCCTGCAAGCTGCCTGGAGAGGAGGCAGTCCGTTCTGGAGATTCTTGAGTTGCCTTCGACTTGTTCTTTAATCTTTTCCTGCTCGCATGGGAAGGCTCCAAAACACAGGTGCCGATGAGGCCAAGAGACAAAGGGGTGCAGCTGTATTACCATAGTGCACGAGAATTAAACCGCCCTCACATTTCGATAAACTCTTCAGCGACGACGCCGCCGCCAGTTGTCGGTCTGGCGGCTTCAGCGGACTGTTGTTCAGCTTGTTGTTGTACACCCGCCTTAGAGGCTAGGTTGAGGGTGGAAAAGAGGTGATTTAGAGCATGACGGGGTCCTGCAGAAGGGTCTCTCTGGAACTCTTTGAGTGGCTCGCTTATGACGAATATGTCAAAAAGCATGAGGCCTTGGCGCAACGCGTCGGTACATGCCTCTGGAGCCCCGTCTGACGAGCTAATCTGAGTCTCCGCTTGTATAAGAGACTGTCGCAGTTCTATCATGTTTACCGTATCACAAGATATGCTCTTGAAGTACTCAGGACAGGCAGTGGCCTGCAACTGAGCACACGTTTGCCGCTTCTCTCCTGTACGAACAGACAACGAGCGCATCTGCAGCTCGCAGTTCGGTTCCGAGATGCGGTACATAAAAAGGAGGATTGAATGCTATCGATTAGGTAGGATGGCCCACAGCAAAAGGCAACTCGTGCAAACGTACCCTCAAGGGCTTCCAGCATCTCGTTGTCCCCGAGAACATCCAGTAGTACGCGCATGTTAGACTCCGCAGTGGCATCTGAGCAAGTGACGCACTTCCTCATGTGATGAACCATCAACTGCTGTTTGAATGCCAAAAGTTTAAAACTGGGATACGGGAAGGGTCACAGTGGTGCAGTGGTGAGAATATTTGCAGGTCAGTTAAGGGTAAGACTGCAGTCGTGGAAGGGCGTTGGCTAGCATACCGGATGACGGTTCCGTGATCTCCAATCCTCTTGGAAGTCGTAGAGGGAGATCTACTAAATACATTTTCATTTCATCTTGGAAACCTAAAGCAAGTGCCATATCACAGAAACGTGCCCGATATCCCTCGATGGCGTCGGCGAAACGCATTGAGGCAAATAACTACACTAACGAAAGCAGAGGGTGCGCACCATCTGCATTTCCTCGATGTGTGTTTCTGTTTCCAGTCTGACTTGACCTTTCCCCTTTTGCTGATGCGAGGGCAAGGCAAGTAGCTCCCGCGGCTACTAATGACGTGAGGATAAAGAGCTTCATCGTCGCGGTCGTTCCAGATATGCCGGGTATTCTTCCGCGAGCACGCAAAAGTCAAGCAGGATATGCTAACTTGAGAAGACGCATCTATCAGCCCCAAAAAGGGTACACCCTGAAAAACAGTAGGTTCAATCAGGAACACGTCGAATTCTCTAATTGCTGCCGGTAGTAACGCAGCTCCCCGCGAAGCTGGCCCGGGGCACCAGTGTGAGATCAAATGGAAGACACTGTAAAGCGTCTGCAGCCTGGATATATCTCGAAAACGGTAGATTTAACCACTTTACAGAAGAAATCACGCTGCCCGAACAGCACCGGCACGGTTGTCGGCGGCGCCTGCGCCCCGCTCGAGGCACTTGTTCAGCAAGAGGGAGAAGTCCAGCGGGTAGCACAACATGCAAAGCAGATGAACGTGAATCAATACATAGAATTCTGCTGTTTGTAGGGGTTTTCTTGTGTACGTTACCTGCTGCACAGCTGGGGAAAACGTGACCGCCGCATTTCACCGGCACTCGCCGCCGTCGGTTCCGCTAACAAACAACTTATTGTGCCTGTCCAGACTCCTAGAGCAAATTTACCAGAACAAAGTACTCCTTTTTCCTTGCTGTGTGCATAAATTTCAAAGTGCTGCTGAAATCTAGGCCGTGATCTTCCAGCCCACAGCTAGGCAATGGCGCCCTCAGCTGCCACGGTGACCATCGCCGATTCGTTAGCTGCTGTCCTGTGCGAAAAGACTGGACGTTGTCCGCCTAAAGTTAGTATTATAGTTGTTTCACAGCTAATAAGAAATGGACACACACATTTTTTCTGCCCACTTAGTGTTGATGTTCGGCAGTTCCAATATACCCTTGAACCCTTGGTGGACGGACCATCGGCTAGGCGGTCGGCCCGTTGAGAGTGCATCACCTCGGTCTACAAGTCTTCGGCCTGAAAGGCTTATCTATCGTATCAAGATACATCGTCACGAAAAACGTTCGAGATGAGCTTAATGTGTTAATATTGGACCTTCTGTAATCCCTGTCTGCGACCGCAAACAGAGCCCGTCTAATCTGCCTCGAGCAGAATGTGCTGCATAGTTGGATGCCCTTAATGTTGGTAGAGGCTTCAGAGGAACTGAATTTGAGGCACTATAACGTGTATTAGGCGTGATGCTAGCCGGGGATCGCCCTGTTGTCCTTCGTGTCGGGGGCACAGCTGCATCGTGCCCGCGTTCTTCTGCAGAATTGTTTACGCTCTTCGCGAGAGCACCGACAGAAAAAGCTGTGCATAAACAACACGTCAAGAAACAAAACTGCGTAAGGTTTTTCATACACGTGTTAGGAAAAGAATACTTAGTGATGAGCGGAAGGAACTTGCAGGTGGGGAGGCAGTGTAATGCCATCGGATTCAGCAGGGTATGCCAGAAACACTGGAAGTTCTGGAAACCGAGAACGTTCCTTATGTTTTTAGATATAATAATAAGCATTTAACTTCGTCCTATGAGTAGGAGCGGCTAACAGCTAAAGAATCTAGGCGAATAGAAGTAATGCGCACCCATCAACAGAGAGAGAGATGGATCAGCACGTTAGCCCTAAGAGAACCCTCTGCTAGGGAACGACTGGCCTTAATCACCCAGAACATTGTTTCTCACCGAATTTAGGAACGTTGAGTATGCATCCTATCTATGGTCCCGCCAGGGACTCACCGGAGTCAGTCCCCAGATCCAGCCCGTTACAGGGACTGAGTGACACCTGAGCCCTCCTTGCGGAAATAGCCCTCTGTTTCTGGCAGATGCTGGGATGGAACCCCCTCTAACGGATTACCGCCTCAAAATGATTGCGAACGCAAAATTTGGCTATCTAACTAATAAGTGGGCTCGTCTCACTAACGGAGCTACAAGAACTAATACATTGCAGTGCTCACTGTGCCCCAAATCTATGGCCACCCATTTCCTCCATACAATTTCGCTATGTATCGTCCTTCCTGTTATACACTCTGTCTACTGTATAGGCCCCTTACTTCGCATCGTAGGAATGTGGAACTAGAGTCCTCGATCTTTTTTCGAGGATAGGCGCGAGCTGCAATACAGACAAAACACTAAAGACTAGGGCATAAAAAGAGCAGCTGACCTCCTGTCCACCTCCAGGCGGTCTGGGACTGGCGTCTGGGGCAAGGGATGATGAGGCGGCATGAGACGAGCTGCAAAGCACTGTGCTGCAGCTCGCGCCGCCAGGTAACCCCATATATATTCAAGACTAAGCCATTTTTGCTGAATACACTAACGCCATAGATAATTGTTGAGGACTTGATTGGCCCTCCATAGCCAGCACGCACGCAAGTAGAGACGCACTGTAAAGCCTGCTTTCTAGCCCTATCCAAGCGAGCTGCAATGAAGACAAGGCTTGAGGTAAGACTTTCCCCAAGACATCTGACATCCCTCCCCTGTCTCCAGGCATCCTGGGCGTTCACTTTAGGGCCTGGCGTAGCGGGGGAAGATGCAGATTAACTGGAGTTGCAGTGCACTTTGCCGCAGCTGGCGATGCAGGCCAGCCTCCCATGTGAACACGAGAAAGCTTCAACGAGGCTTCCTTTACTGCATGTTTTACCTCTGCATACACTTAGAGACCGTATTTGTTTGCATGCAGCATACCAAGGTCAAGAGATTGTTCCCGTGCTGACCGCAGGCAGACCACGCTACATACACGGACCAACTCCTCGCAACGCTACGGATTGCGAGGGGGGCTAGAGTTATTTAGGCAATGTGAAGGAGGTTCGCTGCCCTTCTGTTGTAACAATTGTTAAAAGTTGACCTCGATCCAATATAAACGCATAACCTAGGTCCAAAACTAGCTGCTCTAACTTTTCTTCATGCCACGCGAGACACGCCTAGCTGCATTGGGAGGTCGCCCACTATTTCATAGGATATTGCCAATTTCGCTTTCTCTTTACCCATTGGAAATGTAATATCATTGAGGATCCATGTACGTCGTCCAAACCATCGGGCGGGTGCAGGTTTGCTTCTATCTACCCACCGATCTGACTCAACGGTCAGGACAATGCATGCACGCACGCTGGTGGACAAGCAATGCCTAGGCACCCGAAGCAGATCACATTGAAACAGCGGAATCAACATGTTTTCTGCATCTTGAGATGCGAGATCACCCAATGTAGCAGCACTGCATCTGCCCCCCCTCACCTGTAGGATGGACAGGTCACTGAGACAAGGTGGCCTCGTTGGGAGGCCCGCTACCATTCCTGCCTCTTCAGTAAGGCTTTAAATCCCTTCAAATGCTGCTCGAAACCAGTCGAAAGCAACAGGTTTTCATTTGCTCATGGAGCATTTATTCGGAACTCTCCCGCTCGGGTTGCGTGCGTTTTGCTCAGCGACCGTTCAGAGCCATAAGCAGCAAACAACTCATTGCAGCATTCAAGGATGTCTCAGTATGTCCATTCCGTGGCGAGAAAACACCTCTGTTCACTATCTGACTTCGATGAGGTCCTATCACAGGCAAGAGTAGTCCCGCTTGCTTTTATTGCTCTCAGGGAGGTGGCGGCTTAATTCTGACGACGAAGGCAGGGGACTTGGCTAGACGGTTGGTGGGTGCTCAAAGTTAGAGTGACAAGTGGTTTTGTGCGTTCGTTGGTTTTGCCAATATGTGTGCCATACCATGAGTGGCAAGTGCTTTGGTGGGTGTCTCTGGCTCGCCGCAAAACTTGTGCAACATGAGAGAACTAGCGTTATAACTTGCGTCGTTTTGTTGGCGAGCTGGGACGCAATTTTTAATTACGGCTTCCCTGCAATGTTCCATCAGGGACTGGCTCCTTCCCTTGGAGAAATCGAGGAACTGAAAGCAGTGGCAGGAGAATACTGTGACATGTCCACATTTGCAACCTTCTGCAAAGAGGTAACCAGGCACATTCAGCACACCCCACGAGCGTTGAGTCCACTCCGCCAGATGGCTTTCATTGTGGAGACCATATGTGTGTAACTCATTGCTCAAGACAATCCATGTTGCGTCTAGGTGGCGCACTCCAACGACAGCCCAAAGCTCCTGGCAGAATTGTTCGGCTGCTATGATCCTTCTTGCACTGGGAAAGTGCCCTTGCGAGTTGTAAGAAATATCCTACAGAATTGTGGGGAGGTTCTAACCAACGACGAAGTAGATGCAATCCTGGAGGAGTCTACTGACGAGGTTGACTACGGGGCGTTCTGCGAGAGGTCAGTTCCGGTTCAGTCTATTGTGAACGCTGCCGCAGACAGACGCCTCACACAGGACCACTCACTTCCAACCAAGATTGAGTTTACTGCGGTAAGTTCTTTTCCGCAGGTTGCTGTCGGAGCGGTGAAAAGTACGGATTAGGATGCACTTTCACCTGCCAGTGAAGGTTACGGCAAGCTCTCATCATCGCGTATGAATTGAGTCCCTACACCGGACGATGGGCTGCCTTGCACGTAAGTTGACGGAAACGGCTCCAAGCAAGCTCTTCTCATCGTAGCATTCGGTGGGCATGCTTCTTTTCGAAAGCCGTCCACAGTCGTTGTGAACTAGTATAATTGTCTCGCCATCGGCCTATCCTCAGCAGAGCTGCTATCGTTACACACTTAAACTAACTACAACTGATGAATTTTTCGGCGCTCATCGTTGTCCATTTTGCCGCTCCCACGTGAGTCGAACGAGCTCGCCCCCCTTGCGGCCTTAACCGCCACGCGGTAGGCATCCATTCCTGTAGAATAAAACTACTACGAGCTTCTGCAGCGGAGTGCTATGCAGTTGTTGTTAAGTTTGCAGTTACTACGCCGTCCGATCTACCTACTAAATGACGAAAATACAAGTGTCGGTGGTCAGGAAAAGCCTCGGCAGTTCTCTGTGCTTCCAACATTCGTGGCGTTGCTTTCGAACCAACCAGCGGTCACAGGCACACAAATTAACTGAGCATAAGAAACTCTACACTTCGACTGAAACACATTTAGCCTGCACCGCTATGAAATGATGACTTGTCATCTGAATTCGTGGAATGAAATGATGACTCGTCACCTGAATTCATCGTTCACCGTGCTATCGCGTCGCTCGCCACTGCAGAAGGGTCAGTTGTCCCTGTGGCTTAGGCCAGGCGCCGCGCCACTGTGCAGCGGGCAAGACGAGGGCTTTGAGGATTGTGGGCGGCATGCGATATGCCCTAACCCAGCTGACATTTCTCATGGCCCAACAGGCACCACAGTTAACATCGCACACTACAAAGCACGTAGCAGGGCATCCTCCAATCAATCAGTCACACATCCCTCCTTACAAAGAACCCAGATGAACTTCCTCTAGCTTAGTGAACGACGTCCCACAACTACGTGCTGCCACGGCGCGGTTCTCTCAAACAACACGAATCGCAGTCACCTGCGCCTTGGACCGCGCCAGGAAGCGCCTGACATAATGACAATCTCGTTCTCTACAGTGGCGCGTTACAATGCGCACCCCTTCATGATGAACGCGATTCCACGACGGCCCCACGGTGACGCGTGGACGATCGACTGTCTTCAAAATACCTGCACGGTTGTTCCCCGTGCAACACAAATACACGAGCCTTTCTACGCTGAGCGGCGACAGGTCATTTCGCCTTGGCCGCTCGAAAGAGGGACATTGGCAGCTTCGCAACTTGCAGAACTGTCTTGGGCTCAATCTTAAGTTTCTTCCCAGTGCGCTTCCTGCTGCTGCTCGACGGACTCGCGGCGGCACCCCGGCTATGGCCCGCTGTCGACGCGCCTTGAACCTCGCCATCACTCCGCGAGACTCTCGGGTCAGCCCCGTCAAGCCCATTCTGCTTGCCTCTGCTACTGCTGCGGCTAACGCTCTTCTTCCGGAAAAACCGAGCGCCCTCACCCCCGCTCCCAGAGTCAGACTCCACGTGGGAACTGCTACCTCCTTCATCCCGCAGCGCACTCAGCATCGACTGCAGCATACCACTTGAAGATGCATGGCGTCGCGACGTGTCACGGCTTCGGTACAGACGCAGGAATCGACGCAAAACGCGTTTGTCACTGCCAGGTGTCAGCAGCCTGCACAACAAGGAACAAGCGCCATCAGGTGAGAGTGGATGTGTGGTGGAGTTCTGCCCAATATACTGAAAGCGAGGGAGCGCATTTACAAGCAAACCGCCCCGTGGTAGCCATTACTTCCTTCGGCATAATTGAGCGGCCACCCATACCTACCGCTCATTCGCAATGGCTAGTGCTGTGTTCCCAGCTTCGTCTTGTGTCATTACGTCCGCCCCCATTTCCATCAACGTTGCAGCCACAGAATACTGGCCGAAAAATAGCGCAGCAAGTAATGCAGTGCGTCCTTGCGAATCCTGCACCGTCAACAAGCTCGCATGCAGATCAACTGATGGCTCACGTAACAAAAGTTTTCGAGCCAGATTTTCAATATATATCATTTCTCCCTTGGGGACACAAAAACCTGTCCTGTTGGGCATGACATATCCGTGAAGCGCATGCTAACCTTTGCTTCCAGATCGATGGACTTGGCTTTTTTCAAGATAGTTTTCGCAATCTTGTCGTTCCTCAACCGAATACAAACGAGCAAAGGGGTTTCCCCCTCAGTTTTTTCCGCTTTGTTGCAATCAAGGACTTGAGTCTGTGTTGCGAGGATCCATTTCCCTTCACACGCCCTTTCCCCTTGGGCGTTTTCCACTACCTGTAAATGCGGCTGCTGCTGGAGACTGTTAGGGTGTACCTTCACTCTGTACGGTTCCTGCGTATGATCCAAGAAATAATTGACCATGTCTTCGTGGTTCTCCATGCATGCTACAATCAGCGGGGTCATTCCTGAGATACAAACGGTCAGTACATGGTGGGTTCAAGCATTTATTATTTTCGACGCCAGCATCAGTGGCAATGTTACCCGTGCAATGTCTAGTAAACACAGCTTTGGAGTAAACTCGGTAAGCGTCACCTTCAAAGTTGGCCTTGTTAACATCTGCTCCGTGGTCAATCAACCGCTCAACACAACTCCCAAGGCCTTCCTCTGTGGCAGCCAATAGGGCCGTCTGACCGCCCTCACCCCGAGCATCCACGTTGCACCCACTGGCGAGCAGCAACTCCAGCACATGAACACGCCCTTGTTTTGCTGCCTGTGAATACGCGCAACAGAAGCGGAGAACTAGACAAACAATCGACTCAAGCAGCGCTCAAGCTGTCGTTCCGTCGAATTAAACACATCCTAGGGAACCCCCCGTATCATGCAAAGAATCATGTCTAACCTGTAGCAATGGCTTGGACCACAGTGGATGCGTGCGGTTCATGAGGTCTGGGTATTTGTCAATCAATAATCCGATGCTGTCAACGTCATTCTTCGCCACAGCGCAACTCAGTACGTCTGCAATCACGAGGAAAAAACACGAAAGTGGTAACTACACAAGCTGCGTGATCAACAATCCACGGAAGTACGTTCCGAGAAATGTCCGCCTGGTTTTCTGCCTATCTAAGCACAGTTGTTCGTTGGTCACCATCAGCTCACCGGTTAACACCCATCTCTTGCCTTTCTCTGCGCCTGCACCAGCTTCTAAGAAGAGAGGTAGCCACTTCGAGTTCAACTGATACGCCATCTGAAACGCATCGACAACACCCGGTAGAAGAGTTTATACAAAACAACTTCGGAAGAGGCAGCCTGCCACAGAAGTGGAGTTTCGCCCCACTTTGCCTGGGAAGGAGGGCGGCTCACCAATGTAGGGGTATACGAATTGTGCCCCCGCGAGTTCGGATCCCCTCCAGCCTTCAAGATAATACTAATGATCTCTGGCGAATTGACCTCACAGGCTACACACAGAGCACTCTTGTACGTGCGTACTCCTGGGCACTTAACATCCAGAGCCGCACCTCGAGCGAGAAGCCGCTGCGCCAGAATAAAATAAGTAACACACTGAATCACATGTGCAACTTCCAAGAAGACAAGCGCCGACCCATCTATGGAAACAATGAGTTCCCCCGCGGGCTGTTGTACATCGAAGTAAGTGGACAGTGTCGGAGACGCCCGAATACAGAAAAATATGCTCACCTTGACTATCTCTGCGTCATTGCGCCGTATTGCTGTTTGCAGGGGAAAGTGAGCGCAGCGAAGGTCATGGGGATTCGGCGATACGCCAAGGTCAAGAAGGGCCTCCACAAGATCTAATCGGGAAGCTTCACAGGCCCGCAATAGTGGCGACTTTCCCAAATAGTCACAAACGTCGATTTGCGCTCCCCGTTTGATCAGCTGCATCCAGAGGAACAAAAAGGCGTAGGTAAAAATACTGCAGAAGCGGCCACGGGTGTAATGTATTCCGGGACAACAGGGCATACAGATGCATACAGGTGTTTGCAGACTGGGAACGCATATAACATGTTCACCGGTGACCAACTCCTCCACTTCAGGCCATCTACACCAACAACGTACCACTTTCAAAGTCTCCTGATCCTGCGTCTGTATAGCAATCGATACAGGAAGCGTAAGCACATTAACACCGCCATCTTCTGACGTGTCGACAACAAACGGTGCATTGACCAGCAGCTCGCTGCCACGCTTCGCTTGGAGTGTTAGCAGTGAGCTGCCCCGATAGGGAGCCGAGGCACACAATTCCGTGAACTGTAAAGAAAATAGAAACACAACAGACCAGGGGACGCAAATCACGCAGTCATAAGAGCGTGTATGACACTACACAGCCACACGCTTGACGAATCTAGAGTATATGTGTGCGCTGCGCAATGTCCTTGCTGCCGCGCGTGCGTGCAGTTTCCGGATTTGCTAGCTCCAACTGTCTGCCACTGCCGCTGGCGTGTTACGTCATGGTGCTTCTCACCTCCTTCTGCACAACCTTTGTCAGCGACGAGATCTGATCATGCAAACCAAGCTTCACTGCATGACAGAAAGAGCGGTAGTGTGTCTCCATGCCAACCTTTGAAAGGAGGCACTTGGATGCAAGAGAGCCCACGATTTCGAGCGATGCCACGACAGGGTGCTTCTCCTCCTCCTCAGCAGCTGCGAGGCTTTCAGCTGCAGCAAAGCCCGCTGCATCCGCAGCTGCTGTTGTGTGTTCAATGGCGGTTTGACACGCAACTGCGGCACCCTCCCCCGCTGCCACTGCCGCAGCAAGTGACTCTAGTTGCTGCTGCAAGCGCAGCACGAGCTCCCTCTGTGCCCGCACAGCGCACTGCTCAGGATCCTCTGGCTGATCCTGCGGAGCTTCGCCGTCAACTTGAATCGGTTCCAGTTGCAGCTGATTTTCCAATGCTCTTTCTTTCTCGTCCAGCAGCGCTTGCTGCTGTTGCAGCCTCTCCGCCACTGCAGCATGCTGCTCTTTCAGAGACCTTGCTTGCTCCATATGCTGAATGTGTTCTTTCTCCTGTTGATGTAACAGCCGGCGCAGTTGCTTCTCTTCCTGAAGCTTCCTCTCGTAGTCCTTCCTGTGTCGCTTATTAACTGCCGTTGCATTCCCCACGAGGCAATCTGCTAAAACAGTGGCTGCGTCCAGCCTCATGTTAGTAAACGACGCGTCGAAGTGCAGCAAACTCGGCCAATTGTCCGCTGAAAAGTCTGTGGCTACGTTTGTGAAGGTCAACTCATTGCTCCTTGCGCACCGGAGCGACAGCCGTTCTAAGTAAGGGAGATGTGTTGTCAGCAGGGCTGCCAAACCTTTGTTGGTTACTTCATAGCAAAAATCGAGGCAGAGGCTCTTAAGCACTCCGCCGATGATGTTGTCTTCCTTTCGACCGTGTAGCACATCCATCAAACGAGCTACAGATGCATCTTTCAGGAGGGAGCATCCGCTAAAGTCCAGAGAAAGCCCCGCAGCCCGTACCTCTGGGTGCACAGCTTTGCAAGCCAGCGGTACTACCTGCTCCATCAAGATGCGTGCGTCAACCCCTCGAAACATACCAAAAGACAACACGCCATCCGCAGGACGGTATTTGTGCTTGCAGAGCAGCCGACATGTCTGTCGTAACAGCAAAATACCCTCCGCATCGAGCAACTTTTCCACGTGTGGCAAATACAAACGCCACCTTTCATTCTGTCCCGCTGGCACCGCACGCGAAGCCGCCCCGGCAGCCGCCGCCAAAGCAGCGCTCCCCTGCTGCTGCTGCTGCTGCTGCTGCTGCTGCTGCCTCAAGTGCTGAGCTGCAGCCGCAGCAGCCTGTTGTTGCTGCAATTGCTGCTGCTGCAACGCTGCAACCTGCTGCTGTGCCGCCGCAGCAGCTGCTGCTGCCGCCCTCGACGCCGGCACCTGCTGCACCGTAACAGTTCCCAGCGTCGCTGGATGCACTAAATCATCAAGAATTTCTGGCTGACCGATTGCTGCCGTGATGCGCGCCATCTCTGCTTCGTCAACCTCATTGATGGTGATACCGCTTAGAGCTCCCCCATCAGCAGCAAGGCCAGGTAGTTGTCCAACCTTAGCCACATCCACCTCTATTGGCCCTTCCCCCAGATTGAGGCTATCCTGCATCTCTGGATGTAGCGACTCGTTTTCTTGAGCCATCTTGCGACGAAAGAGAGCCAAGATATTGAGTTCTCCAGCGAGTGAAAATAGCCAGTGGTGCTGGCTGCTGCAAAGAGATGTCGCACCAGGAAAGGGGATGGATGGGAGTGAAAAAAAAAAGAGAAAGCAACAGCGTTTGAAGCTAGGTGCTCGTCGGGCTGAAATATCCCGGTCGCTGCTGACCAGCACGTACGAGCACACGTTTAGTTCAGCCGATGGTCGTGCTGTGTCCGTGTCCTAAAGGGCCAACTGATCAACAGCAACGAAAAATAAAGAAATCGAAGTAAAATTATCTATATGGATATGAAGACAGACAGGCTTTCCACAAGGAAGAAGCCAACGAAATGAAGGGAGCTGTGTACAAGTTAAACCACTAGACGGCCCGACAACCGGCAGAAAGTCACTTCCCGTACGCGCTCCCCGCTAAATCCGTAGTGATCAGACGACCTCCTCTGCCTTCTGCCGTAGACTATCGGGTGTAAAGCAAAAGCACTTCCAGGCGAACCAATTCCGCTGGGGATTTGGCGCTACACGGTTCCGCCAACCATTTTTCGCAGAGCCAGGAGAGGCTCCGCAGTCTCCCTCTCAACGTTTTTTCACCGCTGACGCCCCACTGTTACAAGCAGCGGATTCCTAAAGAACAGCACCACGGGGTTCTCCCTGGGGGCCAGGTGCACGGCCGCTGGCCATCTTCCGCCGGAAGTAGAGAAAGCAGCCAGCTTAGGTTAGGAAGTTGGCGAAACAGGCTAGCACCGCTCTCGCCACCGGGTTGAGCGTCCTTCAGATAGAGCAAGAAGAAAATCCAACGCCTTCACGGTCCTGTCCAACAGGAGCTTAGCGGTTAGTGCTCAAAATGCACACGCCCAAGGGGACGTAAGGGAGGTAGTGGAAAGGATGGCCTCACAGGTGGAGAGCACAAACCCAATCGACTAGTGTATTTGAACCCTTCTTCAATATGATGTTCGCTCTCGCTGATGCTTCAGCTACACCCCCCGTCAGCCGTATCGGCGTGCGCGTTGCTCCCGCAGAGAGGGGAGGCCGCACCGGCCGAGTGAAGCTGCTGTTCTTCCTCCCGGATGACTGAAAATCAACGGCGAAACTGCTGTTGCTTCTGCTGCCTCTGCAGCAAACGGAGAGGGCGCCCCGCCGTCCAAGCGACGCAGCCCACCGGGCAGCAACCGCCAGCAGGACTAGACGTCCCCGCAACCGCTTTGATTCGACCTCTCACTTTACAGCAACAAGTACAATCTCGATTGTAATGGGAAGCTCATGAAAAGAACAGAACAGAAGCCCCGGGGCTCCAGAATGGTAAAACGGCCACGGAGCAGCCGCTACAGCTGCAGCTGTTAGGAAACGACACGGAAGGCCCCGCATAGGAAGCCTACCTTTGCTTCTATAGAGAGCCAAACGACTTCTCACCCAAAGGCGTAGAATGCCGGACTCTGCCAATTTCGTTGGAGTCTCAGACGCCAAGGCTGCAGTTGCTGCTGCACCGCTGCTCGCTGCGGCTGGGGCGGCCAGCGGCAAGTTTGCTGCAGCTGTCGCTGTACAAAATGCGATGCTTCGAAGGCCGTTTTTGTGTGCTAATTCAGGTAAAAAAACGTTTGCACGGGCAACTGTTTTGTCTTTCGGATTCTTTCGATTTTACACTTCGCACTGCTTGGCCGTAAGGTGCTGTGACTGTCCGCCTAAGAGAAGCGTTACCCTGCGTTGAATTACGGTTTCTGTACGAGTAATTGATATCAGTTCGTGAGTGTCTAGATGCGTCGGTCATAAAAGCATCCTCGGTTATGGGGTCTACACCTTCTTCAAATGGAAGGCAGCAAGGACTGCTCCTGAGTGCAGCCACGGCTTGGTGGCAGCTGCCCAGTGAGAATTCCCCCATAGCAAATTCTTGGCCCAAATGCTGAGTTTCTGGCCTATGAATCTTCTCTAGTTCTTATGGGTGACTTAGTTTGATTAGCTCCTCTACCCGCTTGACTATGCGCCGGGCCGGCGTAGATCTTCGTTCGTTAGGCTGCCAGTTTGCACTATTTATCAGTATAGGGCTTTTTGCACGTATCTGGAGTGACTTCATAGGATACTCATTCTTCAAGTATATTCAGGGGACCACCGCTGAGTGCTTGTTGCGGGTCGTTGCCCGCAAGGGGCGGTGGAAGTAAAACAGGTTTTCAATGTTGGACTGCACAGTCCTGCAGTAGACAGTCTCGCTGGCTGCAGCCGTTCATGTTAAGTTAGCCCTTCCCGAGCCTTTTACTTGATGGCAACTTTGCGGGGCTCTCCGGAAGTGGAACTGGCCCTGACGGCGTTCGTGAGCTAGCGTAATTTCTTGTTTCCTCCGGCTGCATGCTTTTTCACCCTCTCGAACGCTAGGCAGCGAAGCTGACGTCGCCTCGACTAGTGAACTACGGGAATAACGAGATGCAAGCTCCATCAGCATGAGCTGTGTTGCCGAGAGCAGATGCGCAACACCGCCCTCACGGTTGGAGGGGCGCGCTTTAGCCCTCTTGGAGTCAGTTTAAAAACGTTTACTAACTCCATTGGTTGAAGCAAGCATTCTCTATATAGGGTCGCCGTAAATAACTGTTTTCCGTTGCGTGTGCTGGCTGTACACTGCAGTAGACCCTTCGGCTGCAGCCATACAGCGAAGAAGGCCAGAGCTATGGCTACGAGTAGCAACGTTGGTTCCTTTACTTCATTCTCAAAACGTAGCAGCTGATGATTCCATTCAGAAGTGCCTGCTCCTTTTGGTAGCGCGAAATCTAGCACGTTTCAGGAACAGAACGCCATGGCCAGGGCACTCAACAGTATTGGACTCTATTCAGACTCACAAACGTTATCCTGATTCCACTTAGCTAACTCGTGCTGCTTGCGCTCGATCTTTTTCTATAAAGCATTTCAACGCTTTTTAAATGAATTGGGCCAAGCCAAGCTGCTACGTGCTTCCAACCAGCTACTCCCAACGTTGTTTTATCCATTTACACATCCTATTTCATTCCTCCGAGCGCGACCCCCTTACTGTCGACAGCAAAGCCCCGTAGTTGAACCGTATTGAATTTGCTTTGAAAATAAAAAGTACATAATTCTTGGTTTCTTAGGGTTACTTAGCGAGGCACAGGTCGCGGACTCTCCAGCCTCGGCATTATGCAACCGATATGTTTCCCTGCCGCCGATTGCAGACCAACACGCTTACCATATCAGAGGCCATCGGCTGAGCGGAATCCTAGCTACGAAAGCCATTTTGCGTCTAAAAGCACTTGCCTCGCTCAAATAGTTGAACTGTGTTTTCCTTTAGGCCGACCAACCCTAAGGTGTCCAAATATGGCTCGGCTAACGAGTAACGGGACCGCTGGAAAGGTGTTCTGTGGTGTAGTCTGGTGAACTGTAAGATGACCATGTAGCAGTGGCTTTGTGATTTTGCATTGCCCCCGTGTGGCGCTGCCTGCCCATGAGGAGTCCCAACTGGAAAATTCAGAATGCGCAGGCCTCCTGTATCCAGCACGCCCAGTAGCCTATACGTACATATTCAAGACACCTCAGTCACCTAGCTTGATAGATTTCAGACAACTGCAATATACCGGATTAAGCTGGTAAAAGTTAGGGTTCTCGCTATACTTGGTAGCGCTGCATGGTTGTGACAAGCAACTGCCACTGCTTGAGCGCCACGTCAGGCTCCGTTTTCTGAAACTGCCTTTGCCTGTGAAAACTCCCGTTTTCCTTTCGTATTGCGTTCTTCTTACTCCTTTGATACTTCCGCGGATGCCACCGCCTATGGTGTGGAGCCACCACCTGTTGTTGTTCAGCTTAGCGAGTTCAGCTCAACAACAACAGGCGGCGGCTCCACACCATAGGCGGCGGCATCCTGTGGTACCAGACAAAGCCCGTAGCCCGCAAACTATACGTTCCAGCTTCGTTTAGCACAGACAGTTTCTGCCAAACGCCAGATCATGCTTTGGGGGGCAATGGTGGGGTCACAACAACAGTGGAGCGAGTTGCCTGGTCCTTTTGGCGCCACCTGCTGCCCGACTCCGCCAAGGAATATGTCCTCATTTGCCCGAATTTTCCTTACCAAAAGCTGCGAAACATCTTCAAACCAGGACTCTTGCAAAGATATCAGATTATTGAAAGAATGTGAACCGATACCTCGATTTCATAGTGAGTTTACCACTGGTCAGAGGATGCGATAACATCTACGTTCAGCAAGTACGCCCAGCTCATCAGCTGCCCAGGCTCTGTTACAGCAGAGGGGGGGGCACAAATTTTCATGACTATGCTTTTGGGAGCAGAACAATTACAGAGAGGAACCCAAAATTCGTTAGCGCCTTTTCCAGCGAGACTTCATTTAGGAGCTTACCATATCTCCATGACAACGGCGAACCAACCTGAAGCAGAATATCAATGTGCGCGCATGAACTGCACTGTATTCCCGTATTTACAACTCTGTTCACTAAATCATTCATCAGCAGTAGCTTGGTTCCGAAGCACTACTGCCTGCACCAACGTTGGATCTGGCTGCTGGAAGCCAGCCCCGTAACTCCGCATTCGCGGACTTCCATGCACAACTTGCAGCAGCACGGGTGTGTATGAAGAAAGCATAAGAATGGCAAGCAAGAAACTACGACAAACGCCGTTCATCTGTAGCGACAAAACCAGCCAAGTTGGTTGTAGTGGGTTCGCATGCATTCCGAAGCGCGCAAGCTGCGATCAGCCAAAAAAGTGCTCTGGGTAGAATCATTTACTACCCGTTGTCGAGTTAATAGGACGTTGGCCTACATCGATGAGTTACCCTGGCCGCGGAGATGCAACCATGCTGTTAATACGAGTCAACTAAAACACTTTAAAGTGTCGCGTAAACTCCCGGGCACTCCGAGCACAGAGCAGCAGCAACGTCTTGCCTAAGCGGAATACAGGAGGACAATGAGACCCTGAACACACGTATTACAACCGGCAGAAGCAAAACCAAACAAGAATGTTGGGTGAAATTGCCAGGGGTGTAACAT